CTAAAAACCCTAATGGAGCTGAAGGGTACTGCAGAGTTGGTCATTTCCTCTCTGTGGGTTTCCTATAAGAGAAAGCAGCTGTATATTCTGGTGATATGGGTGTGGATAATACCTGCAGCAATGGCTCCAACCAAGGGTACCATAAGGAGTTGCAGGGGATAATTCCACGGCCCAATGATTAACACAACTCCTAATGGCTCCCTCCGTATAAAACAGTCATCCAGCCTTGTGGCCTGGAAATGGACAAATCAAGACAGTAATACAAGTGTTTAGAAAACACAATATATCCACACGTCACTTCTTAGTGGAAAATGATACTGCCCAAGTTAAAAGTACCAAACATTTGCATGCGCCATCTTTTTAAATGTAATAGCTCGCTTTTATTGAAATCTTATGAATCTTTAACTTAAAAAGGGGGCACTTCAGTTTCTACACTAATTAACTGATAGACTACGATAATCAATAGTAAAGCCCTATAATGCACATAAATCATTGTTGAACCTACCAGAGTTTTGTTGACATACTCTGGCTTCATCCAGCTTGCGAAGTTAGCGATGGTGTAGTGCAGCTCATTGATCACTATATCAACCTCGGACAGAATGGCCTCAAATTTTGGCTGAAGTGTGAGGACAGCAATGAGAAAAGGAAGTTAGGGCTTATTGAATTGTAGCAGGCAAACAAATTATATACTGTGTTTCACATATAACATATTTATTATTAGTTTATTTATCTAAAAAGGGACAGTGCCCATTAATTAACACGAGGACTGAAGTCCGCTGTGTGAATGTGCCAGATTTAGTCATACAAGCTAATTTTCATCTGCAGTCCCAAATATAGTGTGTGAGCCTTCCTTGTACCTAAAATATACAAATGTTTTTTTTAAGCAGTCTAACATTCACCATTCATTTTTAGGCTCGATAAAATCAGCAGAATAGTGGGAGCATGAGTGAAAATATTACATTAACGTCCTTTTTAAGGAAAACATTTAAAATGTTCAATTTCACCATCATCAGAACAGCTGGGGCCAGACAGAAACTGCTATGCAGAACTCTTGGCGTCAGGCTGCCAGACCTTTGGCTGGCTTTGGATGTGTAATAATGTGTTGTTAAGGAAGTAGTGTGTGTATGGTCTGTGTATGGCACGTGAGCACTGTCTCGTACCTTCGCGAGGTCTTTGTGCAGTGCATTTAAAATCTCTTCCTCATTATCTTTGATCATTGACATAAGCTTGGTCAGCTGAGTTCGACGAAACTGCTCTGGTATCGTGATGCCTGAACTAAACGCTGTCCGCAACCTGTCCACAACCTGACTCTGGGTGTCCATCCTTTCACCTGGAACACACACACATACACACAAACAAAGACACAAATTGCAGTGTTTTTTTTTACTTGGAAAAATGAATTGATTATCAGAACAATCACTGTTGAAATGTCACTTCAGCAATTCAGTCTGACTTATGAAATAATTGTTTCTGACAAACACTTAGAGGAGTTGAATAATGAATTAAATATATTGCGTATATTAAGGACTCCTTTGGAGAATTTCCCAGAATTCCTGGATAACCTGTTGCAAACCTCTTTGCAGCCCTGTGGAATTCACAGAGTTCATAATCTCAGAGTGATACTTAGTACTTGTCTATGCCAATAAAACCTGCAAGCACAGGGACACACAGGATGCTACATGTTGGTATAGGCCACTGATGTGACTGAAATTAGAGCAGATAGGTCTGTTTAAATGACTCAGCAAAAAGAAAGGATGGCACAACCCTATGGGTAATGTATAAAGACTGAAAGAAAAAGAAAATGTACGCTATTCATATTAATAATACAGAAAAATCCAGCAGCTCTATCTATGGAACTGATGAATCCTTGAATATTACCGCTGGCCCACCAAAACCCCCAAGCTGAACTTTGAGAACCAACCAGATAATAAATGATTTTAGGAAGCAGACTGAAGCTATTTCACAACAGAGAGGAAACTTATGTGCAGAAAATACTCGCTGAATTTACCAGAAGTTCTCAATGTTTTATCACATGTCGTCAAGTGTAACACTCTTTCAGTTCCTATTGCGGAGAAGCGAAGAAAAATAAACTGTAATATTTCACAATGGAGGTTCGCACACTACTGTCAGACTGACAATGGCTCACATCAAACCCATGTCAGCACAACACTGAAACGTGTAGACAAGCCGTCAACTGGAGGCAAAAAAAGATTTAAGATTTAAACTCACAAATTCATTGGCATGCACATTTTTGACACATTAAGTTTAATACTATTAAATGCAATCGTACGGTAGCTGTGTGTGGCCACAAATAGGGTGAGACCAAACAAAACCGGCTGTCTAATGTTACCAAGTGATTTACCGATGACCTCAGATTGGCGGATTCACTTTCTCTGCAGTTCACTGGATCTCTCTTTTAACGCTATGATATCCATCCGCGGGAACTAGTATTTTGCCAACAGGACAGAGTTCAATCTCGGACAGTTCCTCTTAATGTGTTCAGCCTACCTGTTAGTTTGTGTTGTTGTCCCTCACACCACCAGGCACAAGAAATGATGATGACAGGGAGTGCTTCTGTGTTTCCGGGTCTGCTCCTCCTACCGGCTCCCGTTGGAGCGCTTTCAGATGGGAGGTGAGATGGTTTTGGTTGATCTTGAAAAACTCGCCTTGAAAACTTGTCAGACGAGTAGTGATGGGAACTGCGGCTCATTTTAGTTTGAGTCAGATCATTTGGATCAGCTCAGCAACAAGAATCTGCTCCCACATGTACCAAGTACTGTCTCTGGCTTTTTAGTTACAGCCACATTCTGCAACATGTTTTGATCTGTGATTGCATTATTAAGGGTATAGAAACCTTCAACAATATAAAACATAAAACACTATTACACATGTGTATAAAGCATTTCATCTATGTTTAACTGTCTTGTATCTCAGTTAGTTTTTCCACTGAATTAGCTCTGGTTCTTGAGCCAGTTGCGTTCATATGGAAGAGGATTAGGGCCAAATGTGACATTTTTATTCTGTTCTGAGTTTAAAGTTATATAATAATTATATAATAAAAAGTTTGATTTCAAGTCAGTTATTTACATTAAACTTTAATGTAACTTTAAACATACATTTTCACATTTGGCCCTAATCCTCTTCCGTACAATGCATAGTGTATATACTTTCATTTATAGTTTTATATTTATATATTTATCTGTAATATTTTTATTGTGATGTTCTCTGTTTTTGCACTACTTTGC